TACATGTAAAAAAATTTGGAAACAGTATATATTTATATTTACGATCATAGCAAATGTAGACTTGGTAAACAACATAGCTCGCCAGCGAGCTTTATCAATCAGTAGCCCTCCTAGTAGATATTTATGAATTGCATATAATGTATCTGCTGCATGCGATGCAATACTTCCCGTGTCATACTGTTCCTTGCAGTCGTTTTCATAGTAGATAGATCTTCCTGAATAATCGATCGTCTAGAATTGATCAGCTTTTCACTGATTAGTTTCGTCATCAAAAAAGAAAAGTTTATAGTTTATCCTTGTCACGCTCATACGTCAACAGAGGTATTTTCAACTTGAACTTCATTCTTTGATCATAGAGAACAGAACTAAAGTTGATCTTGAACTTCATCTCTGGTTCTCTTATCGTGTTCATTTAGCATATGTTATTCATTTCATGGTTACATTTTGTGTTTTTAAGTATTTTTAAGTTAAAATTGCTATAATTAGCTTCAACATAAAAGTTAAAATTGCTATAATTAACTTCAACAAAATACTTCTAACCTCCATTTCTCTTATTTCGTTGAATTTGTGTGGGATATTTACATTTGAGTTTTGAGAAGTTTAGCTGTTAGAGTTCTTGCAGTTTTAACTTTTATGAAAATTTGGACTCGAATATAGGTTTGTAAGATGAATTCATCCGTCTTGTAGACTTTCTTAGCTAAATGATTTTCCTTACTGTATAAATCTTAGCTTCTGCCAGTACGTGACTCTCATCATTTGTTCTTTTCTAGGTGTCCTTGATGATTTATTTTAGATATTTCATATTTCAGTTCATTACTATTTGTACTGTGTTTCCAGTCGATATATTTTTTTTCTCGAAAAAGAAATGTTTACAGATGAATCGATAGGAAAAAAGTACAGTGACTGTATTACATGATAAGATTAACCTCTGAGAGTTAAATATGGCTTTTATTGTGTTAGAAACGGTCTTATATCGACTTGTTCTTCCGACAGCTTTACTTATTGGTTTGTTTTGAAATTACATGATAATTTCATTTTAATTTGATTTTGAAGCGGCTAGTTATATTATTCTTTAAAATAGTTAAACGGTTTCATTGATTTATTCATTTCATAACAATTATTTCAGATGACCTGAATTACTGCTTATTAGTTAATCTTTTTGTGTTATTTCCAGGTGCACTAATTCGACCAAGCTTTATTTCCATCGTTTACGTTATTTTCGCCCTAATTGGTCCACTTTTGGGTTCAACAGCATCATCGGTGCCAATTCAACGGACGCTTCGTATTTACTTAATTGTCGTTCTGTTTACAGCATTTCTTGCCTCCGTCATCCAATTGAGCTATCAGATTTATGAATCTTTTTATCAACCAAATATTGATGAATACACGAAAACATGCAATACATCAGTTTTGAACTTTTGGTTGCGACAAATTGGTTTAATTAGGTATATATTGATTAGTTGATTAGTCACCGAACTTCCAGTCATATGGGCAGATAAGGCATCTTATTTACTAGCCATACTCATGAGTGATGTTAACGTTTGTTCCCAGATAATGTTGTTTGCGGCTAAACCGCATTTAATATTCCATTACTCTGTTAGTATATGTTTTGACACAAAATAAAATTCTGTACTCATACTGACGCTAGATAGTAGTTCTGAAGAGGACCACCAAAATGGTAGACTTTTATGAATCTTAATGAGTGAATTAGGTATCTCATGAACTTAATGCAATAAAAAAATGTTTAACAGATCTTGCTCGTTACGTGGGCATATAAGTTTTACTGACTGATTAGAATCAGACTAATTATGCATGTATATTATCTTTTTAATGTTGGCTGAATTATGTCTGTGTGGATTAAAGGACGCCAATGGTGGTTTTAATAACTGGATGAGTATCTTCTTTATGGAATGGTTTACATTAAGAAGTTAGAAGCGTCCTATGTACTAAATAGTATAGAAAACTTTGATTATAAGGAAAGTTTCATGTTTAATGAATTTGAAATGACAATTCGTACCTTTTCAGAATCAAACGTTATTCTGGCTTCAACACAATACGTGTAGTTTTTCCTGAATTACTGGCACTCACAGTTTCTCTTGTGACTACTATCTGTTGCTTTCTCATTAATCGAAGTAATGATTCTAGAAGCACTCATAGTACCGCTAATGTGCTACCAGTACGAGAAAGCTCAGGGTAATACTTCTGCTTTGCTTTTTCACATCATTTTGATGTATCTATCGCACATTGTTAAGATTTTTTTTTTGTTCTTTGTTTTAGCATTATTGAACCTGAAAAAAGAAGCATCACTGAGGCAATGATATTGTCTCTGAAAAAACTTTCGGACGTTGCAGTAATCTTGGCTCTTGGCTTAGTCAGCATTTTTCAGGTAACTGAAATGCATTAAAAGCTTAGTAATCTAATTTTAATTTTGAATCGAATTTTAATCAAGTGGAAATTTAAATTTATGTTCGAAATTAGAAGGAAATTATTAATTTCAATATTTTTGTTGAAATTGACCGATTTATTGATTATTTTTCAGCCGTGTATTCTCAGCTTTGTATATTTCATTACATTCCTCTTTGTCGCAACATGGTGGGCATTGTGCAAACCTCTTCAACGACATGTTTTCAATACTATAAAACGTCTAATCATCAGATGTTGCGCACTGCATTTCCTCTTGCTTTATATGTATCAAATACCATTCTTTCAAACCATCATACCTGGGCAGTCATTTTTTGCTCGGTATAACTTTTATATGATCCCTACCAAATCAAGTTTATTCGTTGACTGCATAAATTTCATCTTCTGTGGTGGCAACTTATTTTCTGATTATTTAACCCGCTAATGTAGATTAAAAAAAAACTTCGCTACGACACAGATCACAAACTGGGATGAGGTAATGATTAGTGCCTCAGACTGTATTTTTCTTTAATGAAATGGTTAGCTAAAGTACAGCATCAATTTACCTCGAAGTTTTTAAGTACCCTTGAATATATTTTTCGATTTAAGTTTTTCAGTTTCTGTTTTTTACAGTTTGGTTGGTTTTGTTCCTGTTTTATACACGAATTGCAACGCGTGGTGGTCATTGAGTGTCATTTCACTTGACTATTGGACAGCACTTGCCAATATAATAGCTGTACTAGTTCTATATCACCTTTTGATTATGCAGTATAGTTTTACAAGATATGGAATTCATCGTAATTATAAGGCTTGTGAAAGCACTGGAAGTAGCATACATGAGGAGGTAAGAGCTCTTTCTACCCGTTTTATTCATAGTTTTCTCAGCAGTGCTCAATAACTATTTATATATTTTTATTTATTTGTTTTTTTCTAATTTTTTTAAATCTTTCATTGATTTTTTCATTAATTTTCTTTACTGATTTTTTTACTGGTTGAGTGTCATTGACTTTTTAATTATAAAATATGTTGTCTTCATTTTTGTTGTGTTTTGCGATGCTGTTCATTCTCTTTGTTTCCATTTGAAGATAAGTGTTAAACGTTGATAGAACTGTGAAAGGGTTTGAATTTGAGAATTTATGATAGTTATTTTTTGTCTACTTCCGGATATGTTTTTCTTAAACCGTCACATATTTTCGAATCACTTTGTAGAACGTGGTCATGCCACGGTACAGATCATTTCAAGGGGCAGGTGATGATGATGTGGATAATGAAAGAACCAAAGTGCGGCTTGATGAAAAGAGGAATGCCGTGGGGGAAAAATGGTGTGATGACTCGGTAACCCGTAATATACAACTGATTGTTTCAGTTCAGAATTTCAAAGTTATTTCCACTTAATATGTGCTTTTGTTCGCCTAAACATCCCTTTGATCTGTCTTTGACTTACACATTTTCCTTTCTTTTTCAATATGTATATTGCTTGTTGGATTTGATTTCTTCCTTATTTTGATCATTTGCGGGTGCATGGTTAAATGTTTCTTTGAGAAATGAATCTTCTTTGCTAACTTTTATTCTGTCAAATTATATTTGAGTCTTCTTTGCTAGCTTCCATTTTGTCAAATTATATTTTGTATTTCAAATCCAAATTTCCGCTTACATTACACCAAACAAAGTTTTTCTGTTGCAGCTCCTTGCAAATGATGCCAGTTCTCACAATCTGGGAAATCTGTCACCTCATCAGACTAACCCATCTTCTACTGATCACCATGAGATGGCTACCGTTTTTATTGGTAATTTATTATCTTCTATTTTTATATTTGCTTTACCTTAATTTTATCCAAATCATATCTCAAAAATATAAGTAAATTTTCTCAACTTAAAAATTTTTCCCCAATCAATATTTGATATAAAATTCCGAATTAAACTGAAGTCAAATTTTCCAGGACAAGGAGAGCGTGAGGCAGTAATATCTCAAGGATTCACTGTTGCACTTACTTTTATTTCCCATCACCTCCATATTTTTGCCTTAATAGCTATGACGGTTATGTTTAATTCCAACTCTTTTTCTGTGACAGTAATGATTACCATCTATTTTTTATTGAATTTTATTCATTTTTTGTTTTGGAGTTGCTATTAAAATTATCTTCATTATGATTCAGTATTCATTTTAATATCAGATCGATTATTATTTGGTCATGCAGTTTAAACCTCTGGAAGCTTTTTTACTGGATATAATGGCAAAAACGATCACGAAGCTTTGTAGTGCAATCCTTGATTGAAAGATTATGAGAAACTGCTTTGTTCATATCGTCCAAAGTCTGGAATATTCATTTCATAATGTCGCTGCTAAATTATTTCAGTTTTGGGCTCTTCTCTATCACTCAGTATTTGGTCTCATATTTTTAGTAGAAAGTTGTATTATTTTGGTTTTCAAGAGCACACGTGCTATGGCACTTCGAGCATCACCATCACTCATTGCATATGTTGAAGTTTGTATTTTTTTTTTTGTGACAGGATTTAAATAATTTTTGTTACCGTTAACATTACATTAATATTTGTTTTAAATAAAGTCTGAGAATTAAGTCTCTTTCAGGAACTGTTATCTTAAGCGCTCCATTATAACTTTATGAATAGTTTCAATATGATTTAAGAATGAAAGTTCGATATGATCTGAGCATTTCATTCATCCATTTCTAAATATTTAATACATCTTGGTTTTAGTTCTTACTTATTGCACAATATGTATGCAGTATGGATATCAAACATGAATTGCCTCAGTCAAGTTATTTGAAACTTGCTGGTTTCATTTTTGCGCCCAGTCGAACTGCAGCATTCATTACTCTTCTCACGAAGGTTTGCTGTTTGCTTGTCTAGTGATAGGGTGTTTTGCATACCCTTCAGTTTAAAAAACTTTACCAAAAAAGTTGATTTTCTTTGAATTCTATTTAAAAGGACATCAACAGTTTGTCAGAAATGATGAAATAAATTAGTAACCGTTTGTGATTGATTGCGTCTGGCAAAAAACAGGAGAGTGGAGCAATGTTGAATCATTGAACCGTTGAAAGGAATTGATTGTATATATTCCTGTACGGTAAATACAAAAATCAATATATAAAGAAATGACAAATGTCTGCAAGGAAGAAGTTCATAGAAGAACGTGGAGAGGGGAGTGGAAGAGGTCGCTAGAAGTGCTAGAATAGCGGAGGAAAGGCTGTTCATTGATGATTCAATTGCTTTTTGATTTACTAACATTTTTCTGTATGTAAATTAGCTTGAAACATAGAAGCTGAGTTTTCAATGTACTAGGACTTGTAGTCGATCTTTTTTAGATTATTCTAGAGGAGAAGAGACAAAGTTGGCGAGAGAGATGAAAAAAAAAAATTTTTACTTTTGTAGGAAAACGGGTGAAATCTAACATCGGTCAAAATAGTTCACGCTGATTTATACGTGGCAGATTTAGAAATTTTTTCAACTTGTTTTCTCTTAAACTTCAGGGGCCTTTCCAAAACACATAATTTTTTGTTTATATAATTTTAGCTTCCACAATCGCTTTTACGTCCAGCCCGACTATCGATAATGAATTATTGTTTAATGAATAATGCTTGAGACGCATGATAGTTGAATGTACTCCAGTACGCTGTGATCTAGTTCCTGACCACATTTTCTTTCCCCTGACGACAGATGGAGACTTGACGGAGTATCAAAAAAATCAAAACCATATAAATCAAATCTTATTATATTATATTATGTTGATGAGATTTTGACAATTTTAAATAGTTATGGATTTGGAAGCTAAAAGTTATCATTTTAAAAGTTGCTCCCTTTTTCTTTGTTTTTCTTCAAATATATGTTTTTCCTATTATATTTTACTATTCGGAGATAGTTCAGGGGATGTTTTGGAGATGTTTTGAATAGTTTATCCATTTCAGGGTTTATTAAGTCTACCGTTGTTTGCACTACTTCGGCTACATCGTGAGAAATACAGCTGTTCAGCCAGAGCTGATGAACAAAAGCGAATATGTGGTATTTATTCAACAGCTGGTCCCATCGGCATATCTGGTAATAAGACAGTATCATCTCAAGTAAGTTTAGATGGTTTAATTGTATCTTAACTGTCATTATTTGCAGATCATTAGTAGCTCTTTTGAATAATTTGAACACGTATTTGGGAGATTTTGGTGATGAATGTGAAATAGTTTTAAAAAGTTTTTCTAGATTGTCTTCTAACTTGATCCTTTCTGCAACAGTGTTGGGGTGTCTCTCTATACTGGTGCTTGTTTTTGACGCTCTGCATCTTTTACACTTTGATTTTTTACATTTAGTCTATCGGTTTATCTGCTGATTTCAATAAAAACTTGTATTAAGGCTTTTCCTCTTTGAGAGCTGTTTTGCAATTTTCAGGTATAATTTAAGAATCTAAAAATGAAGGTTGTTTACTAAACTTAATAATTTGATTAATCGTCTGTTTGCGAAGGATAGTGTGGTTGATTGTTGACTTGTTCCAGAGTGTATCAACGGGTGTTAGAGTCGTTGCGAAATACTGGATTTTTGTTGTCAGTTTTGTTTTGCTCGTTATTTCAATCCATTCACCGCCGGTTCTGTATACTGTTGGTTTTTTCATATCATTCAGTGTGCTAATTGTCCTGCTACTGGTACGTTTCTCTTTCTCTCTCTTTTAACAATTGAATTTTGATATCATTAATTCAAATTTCATTCCCTTGATGTTCAAAGTTCTGGTTTTTTCAATTCAGAAAGTAAATATTACTACCGTTTACTTTCGACTAATCTTTTTGTTTAAAAAGAAATTTCGTCTCAATTGCACAATCAAGAGGAATATGTGCATTTAGATACTGTTAAGTGATTCAGTGTTTAGTAAGAGAGTTGAACGCAATATATTCATATTTTTAAACGTTTTTTTTCGTAGCTGTCGCCACTTTGTGATAGATTACTGCAGTTCGAATTAAGTATTCATTTTATTGAAAGTGAATATTTTGGTGTAATTTCCTGAAATAAATTAAAATGATAAAATAAAGGCTTTTAAGCGGCACAAAGCAATGTAAATCATGCGCTGTCTTGCACATGCATGAAAATATGAAAATAGTGGTGTCTCACTGTAACATTGTTTAACGTGTAGTTTATTGCTGACTTAATAATATTGAGTTTCAAATTTTTAATATTAGTGCTTAATAATCCACATCTGAAATATCCTATATTAATTTAACTGTGCAGATAGAAAACGAAGTCTAATGTTTCTTGATCCAGTTAGTTCAGTTTGTTTTAATTTTTCTGGAAAACAACTCTTGAAGGAACTTTCATTATGCACTTTTTAATTTGAATTACTTAGAAACTAGTCAACTGAATATATTTTGACATAAAATGCGTGATTTTTTTTTCAGTCTTCTTTTGGTTGTCTACGGCGTTTTTTGTATAGTTATTTTACATTTCTGGCTATATATTCATCAGCTGTAATAATAATCCTATATTGTTATCAATTCCCAGCAATACCGTCGATCTGGCAGAACGCGACAGGACTTAGTGATGATTGGAATCACGATATAGGCTTAGTCAATTACAGGCAAGAAGGAGATAAAGAGTAAGGATTTCTTTGCATCTGATTCTTAGTTTCAAATTCGTTGTTTGTGTGTTCATTTGAAATTTGGTTCTGAAACTGAAATTGGTCTAATTAATCATTTGATTTTATTAATCTCATATCATTTAGTTGTTATTTCGCGGCTTTACTAGTATCTGTATACAACGGTATTCAAGCACTCATTTCTAGATCTTTGGCAATTCACTTGATTGGATCACTTTCACTTTTCCTAGTGATCATAATGCATTTGAAATTCTTTAATAATCTGTGGTGTTCTTTCGTTACGCCTATTTCGAATGCCATTGATAATGACGTAACTGAAGGGACTTTTGATGGTAAGTTTTGATATTGGCTTAATTTATATAGATTTCTCTGTGTCGTAGTATTATTGTTTTAACAGTCATTCTCAGAATAAGTCAAATGCGCATAAAAATTTAAAGGTTGTTTTTTCGCGGAAACTTCTTTTCCGGAAATGATCCTCAACTTTTATTCTATGATAAGCCAAATGTTACGATACTGATTAATCTAAATTTGACTATCCATTCTTTCAAACTTCAAGGAAGTTACAATAAAGCTATTTCAAATTTGGGTAAACCGTTGGTGCAAACATCCCAGCGCCACACTTCCGGTTTTCTTCGGATGCTAATAATTTCTCATTATTTTGTCGAGTTTCTAGAATTTAAATTTAATAATATTAAAATTCCTCAATTTTATTTTTAAATTGAATTTACGATCATTTTTTATATTTTAAGTTGTGCAGTACTTTCTTCCTTTTTTGGTCCATCTACATTTCTCATAATTTTATGATGTATCTTCTAGAAATTAGTTCGTCAAATTTTCATAGTTCGAATTTTCAAAATTTGTGTCGTGTCGATTTATCCAAACTTTCTCTTACATATTATCGAATTTATAAGGCAGTTATCGTCAATCAGGAAGACATTGTGGTATTTGTAAAAGAAATTACACATAAAATATGCAGAACAATCTTTTTTCTACTTCATCAATTTTACCGTACAATCTTACTCTATGATGAAAGGAATTATTTATTTTCATTTTCTTTTTAGTATTCTTGCTGTTTTACACTTTTTGAAATGGTTTGCTACTAATAATTAACTGTTTAAATGTCAGTGTGGAAGTAGTAGACTATGAAAGTGCGTAAAAATAAAGATTGGCTTACTTTTCATTCTTGAAAATAGTTCACAATTAACGGATTAGTTGAAGTTAGTCTTTAGAGTTGGTTCCATGTAATAAGTAGTGGACATTGATGACCTCTTGGGTTAAAGTTTTTATTTTAAATTCTTGGCGATGGAGTTGAACACTTTGCTTTCCTTTTAATTTATTGTTTTGAAGAATTTATTGTAATTTTCGATTTTTCTACTTCAAGTTTTTGTGCTACAATTTTCGTTAATTTTATGCCGATATAATTTCATCGTCAAATTATGACATGTTCTGCTGTATGATTAAATATTCTGATGTTTATTTCAATTTTTCAATAATCGTCTAAGGTTTATTCAAGCGTATGGATACTGTAGTAATTAATGCGTTTGTTGTTGTGTAACTTGATCATAATTTGCTGCAATTTCTCCCAAAAAATCCTAGCAGTTGAACATGCAAATTTGAATGACCATAAATCTGTGTTGTGCGTGAATTGCGTGAGATTTTGTATGAAATTTTTCTGTATTCAGTGTGTACACCACATGTAGCTCTCAGGTCACTTTCTCTTTATAGAGATATGTTATCACTGGTGAATCTTACTTTCTAAGTGTATCCATTGTGTCTTTCTTCACTGTTTGTTTCTAAAATTTAAAGTTTCTTTAAAGACTTTTAAAAACTGGGGTTGAAATGTATTTTGTTGTATATGAGTTATTTCTCTAGATATAGAATTTTCAAAAATTTGCAGTGAATCTTGAAAGTTTTTGAGACCTTCAATATCTGAAGTTCACTTTTCGTGTATGTAGATTATTTATTTAATTGCAGAACAGCGGAATTTTTATGCCAAAATAAAACATATCGTAGACTGTGTGGTGGAAGCGTTATGGAACATTGCAGAGGTTCATGTGGCCAAACTTGTCATGTTCATCTTAGTTATTGTTGCTGTTAACGATGTAAATTTATTTTTATTTAGAGTCTATCGGATTTATCACCTAAAAGTTACAAATAACTGTAGATTACAGATATGATTTTCGCCCTGTTAATTTTGGTGAAGCGGATTTTGGTTACTTTACTTTTGCTACTGATGGAAGCTACTCTCATAACGAGATTTTTTTGCCTAATAGTGATTGTTGGGTAGAAAATTCTTTTTATGCTGCACATTTGAATTTTTAATGCTTATACAATGTTTTCAGATATTGAACCTCTACATTTCGTTTATAGTTTACACTTTTGCAGATATGCGCCCTCAATTTAACATTAATTATTTTAACTAGTATTGCTGTTTGTGTTCCGGCAATCTCATCAACTCTGTCTTTGTTGTTATGTTTATTCATATCAGTATTTATCACGATTAGAATGGTTTTTCAGGTTGATTTCTTATTTTGCTCGAATATTTTTCATATTTGCAGAATACATTGATATGTTTATGTAAGATGCATGTCTTATTTCAAAGAAATGCTAATGTGGCTAAACTTGCAGATGCATTTTGTGGTGGAAAAACCATTACCTCTATATTCGAAAGAATTGATATGCAATTCGTCTGAATACACTCTGGGTGCAGCGGTATATTGGCTTGGTTTTCGGAAAGTACCGGTCATTGGAAATTACGTTAGTGTGAGTAGAAATTTTGCTAAACTTCATGTAATCGTGAATTGTAATTTAAATTATGTAGTTTGCGTGCTCACCAGATTTTGCACGTTTTTCATCATTTCTTTTGCAGGGTTTAATCGTTGCCTTATTAGCACTAGCATTACAAGCAGTTGTTATCTATCGCCAGCAACATAAACGTTTGTTATGCAGAGCAACTGCTCCACCTCGTGGACTAGTGTTTCCAGAAGCAAATCCCAAAAAATGGGATACTAATCTAATTGATATGATCAAGTTTTTCTTCAATTATGGATTCTATAAATTCGGTTTGGAGGTACTTGCTTTATTTCGGCAAATTTTCTATTATTAGTTCATATGAACTTGCGTTCTATCTATACGCATATATATATATATATATGTATAGATATAACTCCAGTTTTGTAATATATTACCCTGGTTTCTTAGTTCAATAAACTTATCTTTCTGTAACTACTTAGTAAGGGATCTTACGCTTCGATGAAGTAAGTGTTTATAGCATTAAAAAAATTGACTAAATGCATAGTGATAGATCGAAGTTAACAATGATTCTGCTATTGGAGTGAAAATAATAAGTTATAATGAAATGTGTGGGATTGTGTACTGCATTGTGAATATTTTCCTCAGATATTGGCACCTTCTGACCGATCCAGTAGATTATCCTTTGTTAACTGTAGCACTTCTTTCAGGAAGGGTTGAAGTATCAGTAAGGTGACTTCTTTTAAAAGTTTTTTCTTTGCGAAATTCAGTAGTAAGATTTAAAAAATTGAAGTTGTCAATGATGATGATGGTTGTGGTGGCATGGATACGAATGGATTTGCTAGCAACTTTTCTTCTTATTTGGTTAATGGTCTTCGTATTCAGCTGTCGTGTAACTTGTCGTTGCTTATGGCCTGTATTCCTTCTTTATCTTGCCGTCCTATTTCCGTTACAGTACGCCTTCTATGTTGGTTTACCACCATCCCTCTGTTTTGGTATGTATTTCCGTTACTTTCTTGAAATTTGAAATATTGAAAAAAATTTTAGCTTTTTAATATATTTCTTAGTTTTAATTTTATGCCTTTAGTTGGTTTTGGTTTTCACTCTGTTTTCTTTTTTGTTTTTTAATATTGATTTCTTTATTTTGTTACTTATTCTTAACTTCATCTTTCCACACTCGAAATTTGTCGGGGAAATTTTGAAATATGAAAATAGTGATATATTTTTGCTTCCTATTTAAGGACTTTGTAGATTATCCATGGAGCCGGTGGTTATCGAATTCGCTACAAAATGACAATTTGATATTTTGGTTGGATTTGGCTAGTTATCGCTTTAATTTAGATGTAGGGAAGTCGATCGCCGACTTCCTTCTCCTGTTGATGGTTGCTTGTCAAGTGAATATTATTCGTATTTATTCTCGAATTTTCAAAAGTCCTATGTTTGATTTTTATTGTTTTACCTATTTCAGGAGTACGCTTTTCGAAGTGAATGTAGCTCACCAGCAGGTGACAATGATTCCATTTACGCTAATAGCAAATGCTATGATCTGAAGCAGGACAATCCAACATATGATTTTATTGCGCAACAGCAGTCAGTATTCTGTTTCAGAAACTTTTTTTTTAATTTCTTATAATTTGATGCATTATTTATGTTGAAACTTTTTCCAGGAGTTGTGTTGACTTCTTGAAAATAATTGTCTTCATGTATGGACACTGGATAACTATTGTAATGGTATTAGTGGCTGGTCTGGGTGGTGTGTCTTTATTCGCCCTTGGTTATATTATTTTGGCGTTTTGGATACTCTGGCAAGGAACAAGCTTGTATGTTACACCAGATTATGGCAAGACTCTCAAACGATGGAACTTACTTCTGTACTATACAGTATTTGTCATGTTCTGTAAAGTTGCTTTACAGGTAATTTTTTCTGAATTTCATGATATATTCCGGGTTCTACCAAAATCACTTGGAATTTAAGATATGACAACACATCAAGCAGAGCCAAGCTAATACCTTCATATTCTACTCCGTATTCTAATACTCACACTTATTTTATGTAGTTTTTTTCTTCTGGATACCAGTTTAATGGTGCTCAAGTCAGCAAGGAATAAAGCATGTATCTTGACGAATCTTACTTTTACTTTTCCATGTGATTCGGGTATTCTATATAATGCTCATTAGATTTAGAATTCGTTTTTCTTTGTGTTGTTAAAGAACAATCAGAATTATTTTCTTTCATTATCACTCTTAATTCTCTATTTTTTAATTTTACGTATAAGATTAAGGTTTGATGCTATTTTCCCAGAAACTGGTATTGCATCTGCTTATGATATGATTTATGTGATCAGATCTTAATGCGTACATATTGGCTGAAATAGGGTTTTCTGTTGATTTCTAGATTGAAACCTTCAATCTTTTCATTAATCCTGAATATATATGCTGATATTTTGTTCTGCTATAAGAGCTTTTTACTTTTACATTTTTGAAAAGTTCTGTAGTCCCATCATCATCGCAATCCCATCACTTTTTGTCTTTTAAATGAATGACATCATACCTAACTGTGTGCAGTAATGGATTATCTATAAATAGGGCAAATAGATTCTTGTAGAATTTGAAATTTCTTTTATATGCAGAAAGAATCATAAGTCTACATGCCGTTGGAACGATGTCAATCTTCTGGTTTTAGGGTCATCATGTGAAAGTGCATTAAAGCAGTGCTCTCCTGGCCTTTCAATTATGGTATATTTAAGCTACCATTAACTTCTTTCTGTATTGGACATCTTTGAGTTAATTGTTGTGTCTGAAAGTTCAGGATCTTTACGCTGTAAAGCAATTTATAAATAAAATGATGGTCTTCTCACAATACAACGACACTCTTAATTTGTAGGCGCTTATAGAAAAGCTGAATTATGTCCGTATGAAATTTGGATTTGACAGGAAATTCTTAACCATTGCATACCAAAATGCTATCCAATCCAAGAAACGCATAGAATCTAAAAATGGTTTTTTGTTTAAATGTTGTAACTTATCTCTGGTATCCGACGTTCAAACCTTGCCGATGAGGTGTCGCTAACTTCCAGACCTGTTGTGGCATGCTTGATCGAACAGAAGTGTGTTGCAACTGACGTCTCCATTCGCCCTATTATCATATGTTGAGATTGATTTCTATTGAACATTTCTGAACATATTTGGAAATTTCGTTCTTTATTAAAAACTTTAAAACAATCAATACATTATTTTTTATAAATTTTCTAAAACTACACGAGTTTCAGATTTTCGCATGTGCTTTTGTCCATATGCTAATAGAAACAAATCTTTGTCCCATCCGCCAGCTATTCAGCATTGTTTGTGTAAGCATAATCCCTGGCAGAATTAACAATTATTACTTACCCAGGGAACGTAAGTTATTTAATTCAGATTTGTGAGTTTTAAAAATAAACTGATTTTTGCTGAAGTGCATTATTTTCTTTTAGAACAAGAATTCGACAGAGAATGTGCGGTGCAAAAATCGGAAACACAAATAGGTTTTGACATGGTTGCGTTTGGCTTATTAGTGTTACAACTCCGGATCTTTAACTCATGGTATTTCCAACATTGTGTGGTTGAATACCGATCTGAAGCCGTGCTAATGAATCGGTATTGTATGATTTTCCAACATCATGGAACATTTAGAAATATACGCTAAAACATCTCAGAATGTTTAAATTAAATGATTTAAATGAATCTTTTTCCAGTTGGTTAAACTTTTTCCTTTTCAGTGGATCGGTTCTTCAAGATCAACTTATTGAAAGAGAAATGACAGAACAAAACAAGCAGCAAGAGAAGAAATTCATAAAAATTAAAATGCGTACGGAACAAATTCGTAAAGATTATGAAAAACGTCTAAGCAAAGCTGGCGCTTTTATACCACAAACATATGGACAAGGTATTTTATTTTTTCTGGAGTTTGCTTAAAAGATCCTTATAATTTTTGAATTCGCGAATCAAAATCATTTATTGAAAGAATTCAACAATAGACGACAGAATCTCTATCTTTTTTTATTAAATTTTTTTTGTTTTCGAGGACTTGAATTGTTTTTCTAGGAGCAACTTCGAATTTTAATAAATACTAATTTTATAATTTTTAAGCACCGTTTGCATTTAATGTTTTTGCAAAGTTTCCAATTTAAGTCTCAGTCTTCTGTCCTTTTTCTTCTCGTCTTTGGATGTCGGTTTTTGATTGCTGTTTTGTCCTCATTTTTTTCTTGTTTTTGGAATTCGAGTATCGAATTTTCAATTTCACTGATTCATCGCTGTCCATATATTTGTTCATCAGCGTTATAACTTTTAGAGTTGAATAAAACCATATTTTATTTACTAGAAGTTTTAAGGGCAGCATAAAAATTTGAGAGAACTTCAGTCAGTAATTTTGGATTTTTGCAGTTCTATTTACTTTCGCTATTTCTTATTCGTTTTAAGCTCAGCAATGTTACAAACTTTGTAAATGCAATTGTATCGAAAAGGCATTTGATACATCATGATATGAATATACTTTTTATTAGAATACTGATTTTAATGCTTGAATAGTATTTCATATTGTATCTTTCTACTAGTATTTCGTCCTTTACAAATTCATTGTTATTGTGTTTGGTGTGTCCAGGAACTGAGGCGCATTATTCGAACAATCCTAATCCTTGGTATAGGCTGAGCGATGCGCGTGAACGTTCTGACTACCGAATGAGTGGTTTGTTTTGAAAAAATCCCTCTGCAAACGTTGCTTGGCCTTTTTGTTTTCATAATCATGCTTCTAACAGCGTACCCTCTTTATCTAACATTCATACATGTTAACTTATCTAACAGTTTAATTTGACTACAATTTTTTGAACCAACATATCTGTTAAACGTTATTCTCGGAGCATTTGCTGGACCTTTCTCTTATTTTTAACATTTTTTGTCAGTGTTACACTCTTGCTGTTAAGCATTTTGTTAATATTTGGGTTTTTTTTGACATGAGGAGGGGATGAAAATACCATCTCGGAATCAACAAAAATCTTGACAAAATGATTACTTTCAAAATCCACTTGGATACCTCGCACAAAGCGATGAATGTAGCAAAAATTCTTGTTTCATATTTTTAGCCAAAAGAGCCGGTGATTATTATATGTTCGAATATGACCCATCAGAAGATGCATTGGATGAATCAGTGGAAACGTTTGTTCCAGAAGTGACACCAGGCGCTAGTGATTTTAACAAATTGGATCCTGCTCAGGTTAATTTATGTGCATTGAACCTTATCTGTTAGAAATTGACAAATTTGCAGACCTGAACAGACACACATTTTGATACAAATTGTTCTTTTCACATTTTTGAACTCACTAACATGGTAATTTTAGCTGATGCACACAGCTATGCAACATGATCTTGATTTGGCCCAAACTTTGGATGCTGTTTATTCGGCTGAGCGAATTGAAACTGATGAAGAAAAGCGTATGATCAAAGCTGTTTCGGACGAAAGGAAATCACCCAAGCAAGAAGCAGCAGTGACAGAATTATCAGGTGGTGAAGAACCAAAGTCTGGTATGCTCTCTCGTTAATTTCTAATTGTCGATAGCAAAAATAGATCTCCAACAATCAAAGTTTTTAATGTCCCCTGAAGTTCACCTTGTAAATCTTTTTCCGTTGTGGTCACTCTTATGTTAACATAGAATTTTTTTCTATCCTATCCGTTTCAATAACTTAACTTTGTTTTGGAAAACTTCATATTTTGAATTGCTTTGTACTGCATGGTTATTACTATTCTAATCTGGTAGTTTTCAGATGGACAAGTTGCAGCAGGCTTACATTTTCTACAGAAAATTTTTACTTCTGCTCTTGGTTGGTTTGCTGCTTTTCTAAACCGTAGATCTCGTGAATATCGATATGTTGCTTATGTCCTTGGGAAAGAAAAAGAAAAGCTAAAAGAGAGATTGAAACAGGTACTGTCTGCATTATTTTTAGCTCATTCATTAGACTTTTTGGACGTCCTTTCCAAATTCTTGATTTTTCTTTTGAATTTGCTACATGCAGGAATCTTTTGAAAAACCCGATCAGGTAAGAATTAGTTTGCTTTTGGAGAAACTATTGGCAGTATTTATAGTAAGGTCAAGTTAGAGAAAATAATTCCTAACTTATTTCTATTTTTAATTATTTGCTTGAACTATCTTTTAAATTCTGGTTTTGCGAAAAGTAAGAATTAGTTTTTTTCTGCCGAATGTTGAAAATATTGCGGAGCCATTTTAGCAGAATCGACCACCTTTGTATCAAAATTTATGCTTCTGTAATATGAACATGCTGCTGTTTGCTGTTATGTTATAATTAAATCAAAACTGTAAATTGTTAGAAATGATAGATGTAGTGATACTTCACCACTCACTGGTTTGTGAAAGAATTCGAGAGGGTAAACTTCTAAAGCTTCGACTTTGGGACATCCAGTAAGCTGCTCAAATACTTTTCTATTGTCAGTGTTAGTTGATCGTGATGTGAATATAAATTCGTAAAATTATGTTGCGGATTGATCCAACTTGAGAGATTCTAGTTTGAATAGCTAAGGTTTTACAGCTTGAATTTTTCGTCACAAATGTGAATTACTATTAAGAGTTCGCCAGTGAAGGAAAAAAGCAAGAATTTAACCGGCATGAACTGTTTGATGAAAGTTTTTATCATCTTTTTTACTTTTGATTGATTTTTATGGAAATTTTGGTCTTAAATCGTGAATCTCATGAGTATCATTTTAGCCACTGGTGGATGCCTCTAGATCAGTGCTTGACGTCCGACAGGAATTTAATCAACAAAATTTGCGCTGTGTTAAGAGCGAAAAGGACATTGAACGGTTATTTTGTTGAAATTTTGCTCTCTATAGAAATTTTTTCTGAATTTTTAATCTTTAGTGTTGTATTTAACTTTAACCTTTTTTTCACTATCCATTATTTAAATCGATATTTAAAGATGAAGATTTTTAAAGACAGTATTTATTATTGGTTTTTGGTAGTATATTCAAGAAGCACTGTCAGAATGGCATGCGAGTTACTTGATTTGCTTTTATTATGTATGGCTTGTTTAGTCAGAACTTTCATTTCACTGCACCTTGATGCATATTGCAGTATGTAATAAAATTTTCTTTATGCTGTCAGCAAAAGGTAGACGTTAGCAGGTACGCCGTCGTACCTAAACTTTAAACTGGTTTCGCATCGTAAAAATATGACTTTTATTTTAAGCTTGGAAGATGAAGTGGAAAATTGTTGGCAACAACGGAATGTGTTTGTACGCTTTCTAAATGCAGCTGGATATTGCATTGCTGCTCATACTGATGTCATTTGTTATCTTCTGGCTATAATCAACCATGCTCGATGTGCTGGCATCATTTCATTACCACTACCTCTTCTCATTTTTTTCTGGGGTTCTTTAACAAACCCTCGTCCGACAGAAATATTTTGGGTAATTTTTTCATGATTTTGCTGTCTCAGTTCATCAGATTTCCTCAAATTCGTGACTGCCTGTTTGTGTTAAATTTTAATTCAAAGACCACTAAACATTCGACGAAACAAACTTTTATTTGTAATTTTCAGATTGTAATGATAACTTATACAGAACTGGTAGTAGTGATTAAATTTATTGCGCAATTTGGTTTCTTTTCATTTAACAATACAGCGAATATTATCAGAGCTGCTAATTCCATTGATTACTTACCCGGAATTTTGGGCATTCGAAAGGCGGATTATTATGCTTTTTGGGATATCGCCTTACTTGTTGGTACGTTGTAAATCTGGAGATTTTTTTTGAAAAAGGATCCTTCAAATAACGGAATATTTCGGTTTACATTCCACCAGTTTCAGCACTCTTTTTTCATCGATATATGCTTCGAAGACTGGGTTTATGGAAGGGAACAGATGATACATTTAGAGCATCTGTCCCACTCTTACAAATAAGTAGTTCTATTAATGCGGATTTGTCGGATATATCTCAAACTAATGTATGTTTTTTGTTTATGAAACATGAAAGTTAGTTTTACTGTTTCTATGAAAAAGATGAAAAACATAAATGAAATAAATATTGTTTATTATATTCTTGTCAACACTTTTAACAAATTTTAGGTTAATTTGGAGATTGCACCAATGACAAAAAAAAGTAAGTTATTTACTTTTTCATTTACCTTTTTTTTTATAAATTTAAGAAGTATATGAAATTTTAATTCTGAAAATATTCTTTACTAACATCTCTGTTTGAAAGTTGCAGCTTCAACACACGTCAAATGCGTCAAGCATTTCTTCAGTGTGCTTTTCAATCCACCAGTTCGATACATAAAAGATTTGTATCCATTCATGTTCTTGATGGATGTATTGTGTTTCTTCGTAGTATCTTTTGGTTTTTCCTCATTTGACTACGGCGGTACTGGAAGCGTTGTACGAGATATCAGCGTAATATTTTCAAAGATATTTTTGAATTTTTAATTTTTTAGTACCTGCAGAATATTGGCAAAATCTACAACTGAATTGTTATCTAATTGACTTGAACGTATCTTTTAGTCGAATCGCGTTCCAATAACATTTGTAATAATGCTTATTACTATATCATTGATGATTATTATCGACCGAGCTTTCTATCTTCGAAAAGCTGTAAAATGCAAATTTCTCTATCAATTAATCATTGTCATTTTTCTCCACATCTGGATCTTTTTCGTTCTACCGCAAATAACTTACAAGTCAGTTGATTAATTATTTTTGGTTTGATAGTATCAAATTTTGTTAATCACATCAGCTGTGGCAGATTCGCATCAAATTTCGTTATTGAAGTATTAATATCTAAATTCCAGTTAAAAAATTTCAGGCCTTCTTGGCTAAATAAAACTGCGCAATTTCTGTACTTCATTAAATGCATATACCTTTTAATTTCCGCTTGGCAAATCCGTAATGGATATCCAACGTTATGTGCGGGCAATCTTATAACACACGCCTACGGAATTGCGAATATGATATTTTTCAAACTGTAAATTATTTTTATGATCAAGCTAACTGCGGAACTTTTAAATATCCCATTTATCAGTGGTGTTGGAACTGCGCTCACTGGTTAGACAGAACTTTGAGGATATTTAACTCAGTTCAGTCACTTGTTGAGCTACTTTGAATGTTTTAGTCTTAAATGATCTATAAGCCTGTCAGTTTGACTTGTTCAAAACTTCCGAGAATAAGTCTTACCGTGCTTCATTATTCAAAGATTATTTTCTACAGTAATAAAATGCCAAAATTGGCCTTATTAGGAGCTTTAGGAAGTAAAATTTTTGTATGTTGTTTTAATCATAGCAAAATATCTCGTACAGGTTTATGGCCATTCCATTCCTGTTCGAATTACGGACGGCCATTGATTGGACTTGGGCTGATACCTCTATGCCGCTCTTTGATTTCTTCAACATGGAAAACTTTTACGCAATTATTTACAATCTTAAATGTGCTAGAACATATGAGAAAGTAAGTTATTAGTACTATATGATATTTGGACATTGAGTCTTATATTACTCTCTGTCTTATATAACTTTTTAATGTAATTTCATGTGTTATTTCTTTTAGTATTATCACTTTTTATGTTTTTCTTCATTCATTTTAGTTCACCAAATATTCATAAATTGTATTAATTTTAATTTTTTTTCCGTTGAATTTGAATAAATTTTCAGAACTTTCCGACTCCGAGAGGTGTAGCCAAAGGTGCTCTAGTCAAATACTTGATGGGTGTACCAGTAATTTTGGGTCTCATTCTTTTCATTTGGCTACCTCTACTTTCGTTTTCGTTGCTCAACAGGATTGGCATTGTATTGCCACCGAATAATGTGATGTTGACCATTGGGGTTGAAGGATATCCCGTAAGACTTTAACTGTTATAGGAAACGACGGAAGTTTAATTCTAAGAATATATTTTTTAATAAAGAATTAAAAAGAGTAAACAGTTTCAGGAGTCTACATTTTTAGTTTTGTTAAATTTTAGAATAAGATGGCATATGATAAACTATGAATCAAGAATGAATTTGTGATTATTTGATTTTGCTAGTTTCTGTAATGCTAAATTTTTTTTAAATTTCAGTCCATGTTCATCATTCAATCTCAGGGTATCGAACTAGAATATCTAACTGATGCTGAATATCTCAAACTACAAAATGCTTTCTCAGAACACTACACTTCCTCGAATACAGATTCAATATTAAGGGCTCGTCAAGCTGTTGCATTTATCAGAGAATACAATAGGGAAAGCATTATGGTAGGCTATATTTAATTTGTATTTAATTTACTTCCTTCACTTGAGATGCTTTCTTGAGATTGGAATTTTTTAAACAATGCTACTATTATCTGCATACCAACGCACATGCTAATGCGTTTTTTTACACAGTGATCACATGATAACGTAGTTCACCCACGAGTCCATAAAAACGTTCACGGGAAAACACGGTGAACTCTTTATTGATATATCAACCTCAGTTGCATTAGTTTTACAATATATACAAAATACATTTACAAATATTCACAATGATTCTATAATAAGTATTTATAATATTCTTGATCTACTATGATTCTGTTGTCATAATCGATTATAGCCAGTAAAGGAGAATGTAAGGATGAGATTTTGCGGTTATTTTAAGAATTAATTTTAATCGGAAAAAGCCTTTGCCATCTTAAAATGCGGTACATGAATGTTTGTAAAATAAGACACGATGGATAAAATTTTTTAATGACTAGCACGAAGTCTTATGGAATCCGAAAAATGATACGGTTAAAAATCCCAGCAAATGATAAAGGCAACTGTGCAAGTCATAAATTTTTTATCATGGTAGTGTTTCCATCTTCCAAGTATTACTACATCCAACTTGAATTTCAGGATATATAGAAGAAAATTTAAAATGCTAATGCATTAGTAATAATTTTTCAGTGCCTCTTAGAGATAGCCATCGGTTTTTGTTGCTTATTGTTTCTTGCTGAAAACGAGGGAACAGAGACAAGATCTACCAATAGCTCCATTGATTTTATTTCAATTACATAATATGGTAATTAACAAATCTTAACTTTACCTAACTTTTGGCTGAGGTATTTGATCCACTCATTACGATTCTTAGGAATCTCATGCAACCCTTAAATAATCATTTTTGCTCTGCATTTGAAAAAATTTGCTTGGAAAAGATTAATGTACCTTTATGGATTATTAAAAAATTAATGAAAACGCGATAAATTTGTTTCATTTTGCTATATCATCATAGCATACTGTGTTACAGTTTGCTTAAAGTCAATAGTGTTATGAGTGGTAACCTGCCATATAAATATAGTTGTAAACATTTATGGTATGTTGTATTTTACAGGCACTATATTCTAATTGCAGAAAAATTTTTCAGTCATGCTTTTATCAAGTTCAGTATTAAAAGAAATTTTGTAAGATTTCGAATGTTAGGGAGTATAATTTATTTCTTCTTATCACAAAAATAAGGCAGAATTGAAATTTCAAAATAGCTTTAAAAATATACAAAAAGAATGCTTTTCTGAGTTTGTTATATTATCCTAAATACATTATTTGACGTGTTGAATGTTGCAGTTGATCTTTAAAAGAATTGTGGGAAGAATACTATTGGATAGTAAAAACTAAAAAAAATTCTGTTAGATTTCCTTTATCTTGATAAAATCATTTGTGTAATGTATAAAGCAAAGATGCAGCTTCTGTTAAGTAACATCTGGATCAAGTTGCACTTTTTCCAATCTTGTTATTCCTAAATTGAAAATAAGCAGGAGTGACTACCATGTTTTTTATGGTTTTTTAATTTTCGGGAATTGTGTGTCAATCGAAGCACTCTCTTCTGTTATACTTCCAGAAAGTGCGTTTCCGTCCCGAATCATACATCCCATGGCTTATTTCAAACGATGCATTGGTTGCTATGAAATATGAACTCAAAGAAGGAACAAGAAGACTTAATGTTATCATCAAGTAATTTCTTGTAAAGTTTTCCTTTTTTGTAATTTACGAAATCTTTGATCATGGATTATATTTACTCCAAATAATTAACTTTAATAAATTTGATAATTGGCGAGGGAATCATTCAAAATTTTTCATATATCAAAGAGTGGAAAATTAAATGGCAATTTTTGAGGTTAATTTGTTGGTTTTTTTTGTGAATTTTTCCTGATTTACTTTCGTAATTTGAATTCTTAGCAAAATTTTTCCATAAAATATTTGCATTCATTCATACGTAATATTTCATTCTTCACATTCATTTTCAAGAATATTACCAGGATAATTTGGTAATATTTTTTGCTTCGAAAAAACTGGTTTTACATTTATAATCTATTACAAAAGTAATGTTTTTCCAAGGTTTACGTACGAACGCCCTAACATTAAACATGCTGATTATCCTACGCAGCATTTCTATACATTAACCATTCCACTACCAGTAAATTCTACTACACGAACAGAATTAGCCGAAATTGTAGATGGTCAATACAATCGTAGTGTAAGTATTAACAAATCTTTTATCTAACTCAGAAACGAAACTTTGTATTGCTTTTATTTAATTTTTCTCTCTTTCGAATTTCATAACTGGTCACGTTTTTATGCAATTCTGTAGATGTTGTTGGAAAATGCGTGGCCGCCATATGTAGTTATGCCCAATGAAGGAAATGTGAGACCGGCTTCTTCTTTACTTCATGTGATGAGTGGATCAAATCCCAATCTCTGGCAATCATTTTCCAATATATCAATGAAACTAACCGCTCGCACTACAGTGAGTGTTTCTCTGTCAAAATCATACTTTAATGTTTAAAACTCTTGAATTAAATCCAATAACATGCAAATAAAAAAGCAGGAGAGTTTGGAAAATGTTAAAAAACTGGTGTTTATTTCAGGAAAGTAAGATGTGGAGTGCAGCACTGATTCAGAATAATGAGACAGCTGCCCTTACGCTATCACTCGAAGATATAAAATACGAAAGTCGCCCGGAAAAGTACCTACAAATGGTTGTATTCGTAGATCGCGTTTTTCCATCATTTGTGAGCAAATATGTCCAAGGAGGGTATGCAGTTTAAATTTTATCCTGTAGAAAGTAAAAATTTTTAGCACCAATTAAAGCAGTTAATCTTCAGTTTGTTTTTTAATTATGTATGTTAGCATCAGAGACAGACTACATCAAATTTGCGACATACTAAAAATGAGAACATTGAAAGGCAAATTCACTGCACTAGCCACATATTAATGCATAATTGGCTTGTTTTGTACATACTGAAATTACACTTCACTGATTAATGGTTTTTTTCTTTGCGTTGAACCATTCTTATTATTAGCTGATATACCGTTGAAAACCTCGTGAACTCAGTCTCTAATTTTGGTTTTTTCAGTATTATCGCAATGTACCTAGCTGTGGTTATGTTAGTGGGACGTATGATACGTGGTCTTGTCATGAATGCTGGTGTGGAAGTCATGGTTTCTGAAATTCCAAATCCAGATTATTTACTTAAAATATGTCTTGATATATATTTGGTTCGCGAAGCTAAGGACTTCGTTTTGGAACAGGTATTGATTATTTGACTCATGGTTAATATCATTTGTTTTAACAAATTCTGGAGCTGTTATAAAATTCTGCATTGCAAATATTATTTTTAAGGATTTATATGGCAAGCTGATCTTTCTGTTTCGATCGCCTGAAAACCTTATCAAATGGACACGAAATAAAGTCAAAGCTGACTAATTAATTTGGGTACCTAATCAGCGTTTTGCTTACTTATTAAATATTGTACAAATATATAATGTACATTAAAACTAGTTATCAATATGCATGCACCATAATGACAGTTGCAAATGAAAAATCGCGCATTTTTCTTTTGAAATGAGCTGAAATTTATTTATTGCAACTTTGTACTCATATTACCGAAACAGAAAATTTTGCCTCTTTGTAGCTCAAAATTTTATGCTTTTCTTTGTTTCAAATCATTCTCTAAATTTTTACTCGGTCTCTGCTTACTGCTTTAAAAGCTGTTTAATCTGAATTATTTAACGTTTTAGAGATTTCCGAAAAAAATTGTAAAAATTTTCGGCCAATTTGATTTGAGTCACTCAACTGTAATGATTACAAAACTCGTTAATTGTATCATATTTTAGGCCATAAAACTAATCAGTTCGGAACTGATTTTTTAATATACATCTACTTGTTTTCTAAGTGTTTATTGTTTAAACTGAACAATTTAACAGATTGATACAATATACAGCGATAACATCTGTTAAATAATGGCTTTTTTCGTTCTGAAATATAATTTTGAAATTTCGTATACTTACTGAAAATTTTCATGAGTGTTTCAAACTTCCGGTAATGAAGTTTTGTTTTATCAACTAGTACAAAACATTGAGTTGATGAATGTGAGATAATTTTTACCTTCGGTGGGATTGTTGCTTTATACATTTCATTGCCACTGATGTTTGTGTACATCATTTATTCCCCTCACCTTTTTTTTGTTCGAAATTTTTACCTGTTTGTGTTTGTTTAATTTTTAAATTCATTCATTAAAATTATTTCATTATATCTATATAAACTGTATCCCCAGTTATTGTCCTCACTATTGTTGATAATATATGAACTCAGCACTATTGCGGCGTCTTTTACAATTTCTTCGGCTTTTTTCTTTGTGTCTTGGTTTTCTCAAATATTTTCAGGCTAGCTCCTTGGTGGAAAGTTTATTCCTGCAGTCTGACAAATCACACAGATTTGCAGTTATAGTTTGGAGTGCGTTAACTTTCCGATTATCAGTAAAGAGCTGTTGATTAAATGTAAGATTAAACATATTATCAATGAAGAGCTGTTTGATTAAACTTTTGATTAAATCCTTATTGTTCGAGATTGGTAATTTATGGGTAGTTAGATCATAAGGGAACAGATAGTAATTCCTATATATATATAGAAGTTCTGGCGAATTTAAATATTCTAAATATCTGGGCATGAATTTGGACTGGGCAGTTGACGGAGTATCAACTTAGAGAAACTGGGGTTTTCAGACTGAAGCAGGTAGTTATTTCCGCGAATGAATTGCGGATTTAATAAACTGATAATATCCACAGATTGGAAAATCAAAATACCAGGTAGAGAAAGTCTGCAAATAAGTGGATTTTTTATGGAAATATTCTGACGGAGATGCAGTACAGAACGGGGCGAAGATGGGAGACTTTAAAATTTATAGAATCTTGAATTTGGGTCAGCATTCTTAAACTAAGGGTTCATTTGCTTAATGATGACAAGTGAATCTTTCATCGGCAAGCCCATATAGAAAGGGAAAGGAAAACATGTAGCAGTAACAGTTCTTTTGAATGTGGGAGCAGGCAGCTATTTATGAGGAGCAGCCCGCAACTGACAAAACAGGTGAAAAAGCTCCTGTTGTATCTAAAATTTCTTTTCCCAATTAGTTTTGCAAGAGCAATATCCGGAAAAGCTTTTAAATCTAAGAAATAGAATTTCTGTAGTAATTGCGATTATTTTCCAGCCAAATATATGAATTGTAATTTGTTAATCGCTGTATTTATTTGAACTGTTAACTTAAAAATTATTTCTGAAAAATTTTGCCATAAATTATGGTCTTAAATACTTTTTCTGAATCAGATATTTCATCTTTACGCTGTGTTAAATATTGTTTTGTATTTTCTCATTATCTCAGATATGATATGTATTTTAAAGTTGGGGATATTTCATTTATCTTCAAATTTTGTTCCGCAAGATGCGGAAATTATGTTTTATTGAGCAAGGAACAATAAGTTACAAAATTTTATTATTAACAGTAGGTATGGGCTGATTTCGAATCTTAAGAAGATTTCTGCGCGCCTCTTCAAATTTCAATAGTACTTTAAGGATATTGCAGTGAATTCGTGATTGCATCCTGAAATAATTTTTCCCATAATTTATCACTTCTTTAAGGCATGTGCCTCTCGTTTAAAGGATTGGTTGATCAATCAATTATTAATTATATAAATAGTATTAACTGGATAAAGTGCTTACCCATCATATCGCATCAAGGTGCCATATTTTATTTTGTAAAAGAATTCGTGAGAGATGAATGCTCGACTTTGCATGATACATTGTACATTAATTTTAAGAATTCCGGAGCTTATTGTATTAAGACCTATGCTAGATGCTATTGGGCCCTGAAATCTTATTACTTGATTTGACCAGATTTAGCTCTTTAAATTCAAATTAATTTTTGCTTCTTAAAACTGCTCCATCACCATAAGTTTTTATCGATGTGGGTGGATTTTTTAGTTTTTTATTTCAAATGGATTTCTTCGCGCATTATTCCTACCTGTTTTAGTTAAGGTAAGTGATAGCAAATAATGATCTTACTACTTTGCATATTGTTGATTCACTCGCTAAAGTCAACTCCTGCTTGAAGTCAGCCATTTGGGAGATAAAGTTTTCGAATAGCATCCCTTTTTTCTCATATTTGCGCTCATACCGCCAACATTTGATGTCGAAATGATGTCTGAAATAAGAGGATTCGGGTTTGAAAATTTATCCAGAAAATGAAAATTAAGGAGTACTTGATTTTGACTTCTCTATCACTTTTCAGATATGAGTTCATACGAAAATAATGAACACACAGTACTTATTAAAATGCTAGAAAACAAAAAACCTTCCTGGTCGAGAAGGTAGTGTTAATTGCCCAAAACCATTTACAAAGAAACGTCCCCAATAATCTTCTCCATAAAGTCGAAAAATCATTCTGGGCCAGTAAAAATTCTCAAAAAATTGCTCCTCTTCTTTGATAATTATTGTGACACATACTGGTTGTGAAAATACAGCTACATCATTCTGAAATGGAACGAATGTTTCGGAAGAATGCATGATATTTATAGCTCTTTTACAAAATTCTCAAATGCATTGGTTATTAAGAAAAACACCTCTGCCTGTGGGACTGAATCGGTGATTATTGACCATTTATGCACTGGAGATAAATCAATTAGTGTACATTGCAGCGGCAGGTCAACTTTATACTCAATGCATAATCCATCGTGAGGAAAGTTTATCGCTCGTTCTGCAACGTATTCTCTTCAAACTTATTTACTGATAAACATTTATTTTTTAATTGCAAAAGGCAGTCTAATGAAAAGAAACTGAATAACACTGTATCTTTTTTTTCACTGTATCTTTTAAAATTTCTGTTCTACTACGTGTATTTTTCAAGTTTAAATTTGTGAACCTTAAAATCCTCCTATACTCACCAATATCGATAAGATAAACAAATTTTATAGTTTTTTCGGCTGGAAGATCGTTCATTGTGCTACTGTCGTCTTTTTCAAACCATAACTTTAAAAAAATGCAATCATTTAACAGAAATTTGCGCATGATACGTAACGTGTATTTATCTTATGAACGTGAGTAATTTGAACATTTCGAGTTCTAATATAATATTGAAAGCAAAATTGGCAAAAATAAAAGACCTGATTTGAGCTGACATCATCAATACGATCAAATCTTTCGTTGTTTATAATGAACAAGCGCGCTTTGTAAATGCCGTAACGACTTTCAATGGAGTTATTTACAGAGAATAAATCTGGTTCTATGATAATATTTGTCCCATTAATTGCCATCATTTTGCATAGAACATACTGATTACGTTCATCATATGCTTGCCTATGAGATCAAAGATCAATTACTCAAAGTTAGCTGCGTTAAGTATATTTTTCTCTACTAACTTGTCATTAATAGTGTTACTTTTTTTATAACAAGGTTATATATGTATGAGACACGGTTTGAAGAAATTATGGAGTCCAAAAATTAATTTAAAATGAGTGGAAAGAAGTGTAAGGAAACAAACGTGTTATTTTGGATTGGACCCAAATAGGCCATAATGTACATCACCTGCTTGCTACGCTGTACGCTTCGTGTTTTCATTTGATGTTCCTTATGTGGTAAATCAATTATTGGTTTCCGATGTGACATCCTAAATTATAAGCTTTTAAAATGAAAAATAAATGAGTTATTAGTTTATAATAGTGAGATTAAAGTTTAACAAAAAACGGATAACCATCTAACATTGACGGTTCTATTCGTCTATTTCTGGAGACAGCAATTCTTTCTGCTAAACTGTTTTCTCCTGTATCAATACTCAACTTCGTAGTTTCCTGGAATTTATTATTTGGTTTCACTTGAATCATCTCATGTCTTCAACTTTTTTTTCCCACAACTCTCACGAAAAGTATATATGTAATTTGTTAAATTTTCCATTTCCTGCTCAATGTTTATGCTACAAATCATATATCATTTTCGACTTCTTTAAGCTTAACCTTTCCGATTCCGATAGGTTCTTCACCATCAATAAGAGTAAACACTCTGCTACCTGCAATTCAAAAAGAAATAAGCTGATTATCGAAGTACCAAATTACTGCTATCACAGTAGTGCTACTACTACTACTATTACTATTACGCATCAACTAATACATCATGATATTAGAAAAAATTTCAATTGTAGTTGCTGCCTTTTTCACTTTCCGTTGTTGCTTCATCTTGACTTCTACTGTCTTCTTTAGGACAACTTTCGGTTTGCGACTGTGACGCCTGCAAGGTTTCTCTAATTTACAATTGTTAGTAACCGAAAATTGGAAATCAGACATGATGAGGAAGTATTCGAGTAGTTGATTTCATTTGTAATGATGATCAGTTTACTTACAGTAGTAAATTTATTTCTTCCAAAATGAAGTTTTTGTTGCCATTTGAAAGTACACTCTTCTACTAGGACAGTAGATAGTGTGGGAATATGCTGTTTGCTGATATTTTCGGTGAAGTCATCAAATGATTGTAATACATCGACTACTGGCTCGCTATATTCAAGGATCAATCTGAATCAAATTGGTACAAAATCAGTTATCTGTGCAATACACAGATAACTGATCTATCAAGTACAAGAATACTATTTGTACTAATTCTGCATCAGTCGGATATAATTGAAATTTTGATAAAACTCTAAAATTTGGTGAAGGAACCCAAACCATACCTGAATTGAACGTCCGTAAGTGGCCCATTTGCAAAATAAATTCCTCGCTCAGGCATATTTCAAAATGATCGATTTTGAAAGCAGAAAAGACTTAAAGCAGAAATCGGAGATTTCTAGATTTGCATATTTCAGATCAATAGAGTTATCGTAGTATTGGTTACTAGGTAACCGGGACGAG